CATAGTGATGCTTTTGCAACGTTGTCCTACTGCTGGAAATTGGAAACATCAAAACATCAAATCACAAAAAAATGAGTAGGAGTGGGCTGTGCTAGGAGTTGAGGCAGGGAGTAAAAAGACTGATCTTGTAGAAGAGGAATAAACTGGACTTCTGGGAACAGTGGAAATAAGTTTTACGCATTTGAGTAGAGCATTCAAGTAGAAAAAAAACAGTGGTGGGTGCTGATGCAGAAGGGGCCAAAAACTAGCATACCGAATGGTGAAGTGAAATTAAATTCTTTACAAACACAGTTGAGTTTTTGATGTAGTAGCTTCAAATTAAAGAAGATCTTCTAAATTCCCTCCTGATGAGGTAACATGGCAATGGTTGTAGTGCACAGATGGTGCAGTTTATTTACTAACTATGGGGGTTTTTGTCAGTTGGCAGTAACATTTTAGTAGTACCTAAATATGCATCTTAAGTGCCTCTCTGTAGGCATCTGTGCTGGAGAATTCAGGCCATGGTTGCGTTGAACTGCTTCAAATGCTATTTTTTTAAAACCTTATAGTATAGCAGTAAAAATAAATGCCCTCTAGCAAAATAGAGGGACTCTGTTATCCTAATTTTTATTACCTTTTAGTTGGAAGGGGATGGATTTGAAGCATTCAGTGAAATCAGATCAAAGTTTGAAATTAAATATCAAAATAATATGAATTATTATAAAACACTTCCTCTCTCTATGAAATGAACTCGTATCAGAGATCACAGTGTAATAAAACGGCTGCTGTCACATCCGTCTTTCTCACATACCTCTTTGGTTTTAAGTATTTTTTGTCAGTTCTAGAGTAAACAGTCTGCTACCTGAGGGTTACCCTCTGCATTGCTGAATGTTTGTATGTTATCTCATGCCTAAATATTTTCGTGCCTGTATTGTGCCACTTCATATGTCTGTGCCAGGCAGATTCTGATCTATACAGGTGATGTGCAGAGTGAAGTTTGGCTCAAAGCATGTCTTGACAATATGCACTAGATCATAATTCCACCGAGGGATAAATTGTAGGTTAGTTCCTCAGTGAAAGAGCTAGATGCTGTTTACTGATTTGGTGTTCGCTTTTGAACACTGTGCTGTATAGGGGCTTGAATCTAAAATGCAGTGAACAAACGTGCCATGAAGCTTGTGACTTACCCTTTGTTGGTATCATCTTCATCAAAAGAAGTTTTGTCTTTGAAAGCAATGCTGGCAAATATCACAGGCTCGCACTGCAAGGGGAGGTGCTGAGCTGTGGTGGAGTTCGTGCCCCTTGTTGGCTTTGAACTGCATTGGGATGTATGCTTTCATGCCTTAGGAGTTTGTGTAAGTGCTTACGGTTGCTTCCAGGCCTTTTCTGATACCATGTGAAGAATACTGCATGGATGAGGGACCAAGCACTGAAACTTCAGATTGTAGCATGAAGCACCAAGTGTATAGGCAGCAGTCATCTGTTAGGGCGAGCTGTGGCTGCTGGCAATTCTTGTCACTGCTTTTTTGTCACTCTCCCATGTTGCCTGTTTGAGGCTTTGACATACTCTTTCTTCTTTGTACCACACTCAAAATCCTTCCTTCTCTTTGTTGCTCCTTACTTTTGTTTTTCACTAGGAGAGCTGGGTGTCTTCTGCTTTCCACTAGCAAAAAAAATCATCATGCAGTTTGTGTATGCAGTGAATTCACCACTTTAATTAGCAAAAAGAAACCAGAATGCATTCATTTGAATACTTAATTTTCTAAATTCTGAAACTTTGTATGTAGCTATTTTTAACCTGGTTTCCTAGGGAAAGGAAATTCCTGCAATCATTTTTCACTAACCACCCCTGTTAATAACTTCAGGAGCCTCTGTGTTGATCTCAGGCTTCAGGTAGGGCAGAGATCTCAGTTACAAAATTCACTGCTTCGTGAACACAGAGAGGCAGGTAGAAGGGAGAGGATTCAGTTACCAGTCTGGATCTATGCAAGGTCAGCCCTTTCTGCTGGAAGTGAGAGGATCCGCAACTTAAGGACTTAACGAAAACACCAGCTGTGGGGAAAGGGCTGTCAGCGCTGGCGTACTGGTGGGTACCAGGACTCCAAGCAGGAAATGCCAGTCTAAGCAAAGTCACCCTTCAGTGCTTCTCATCATGGCTACTTCTTCTTCTTGACATCCTTTTCAGGAGAACACCTCCAAACTGTGAGTGTAAACACTGTGCAAGAATGAGCTGGCCTTCCAGTTTTCCCTCAGACACTGCACCTCTTCCTGTGCACTCTGGCTGCTGGCCCTTGGCCCTTGTCTTCCTTGTGGACCCAGTCCCTCCTTCTTCTTTTCTCTATGCAGAGGGACAACCCAAAGCACGTTGTCCTGGACCCTACTGACACACCTTGGGTGTGTGTCTCCAAGCCCTCTTACCTCTGCCAGGGCATTCTGGAATAGCTGTCTGGTTTCTTCAGGAATACACCAATAGAAATAGACACCATAGCAGATGTGGATGGGCTTTAAATCATGGTTGTGCTTTGGAAACAGCTGTTGCAGATACAGTCCAGTGTGTAAAGAGCTCATGTTTGTGTCATGGAGTCATCACACAAATATGGTGGTACCATTAGTGGTCCAAAGGCCGAGACTACACCTTACGAGATAAACTGGTTGCATCGATTTTATCTCAAAGCACAGTTTGTTACTCAGGAAACATGTTTTTTTCTGGTCGTGTCCTTTTGTTCTTTCAGCAGTAAAATTAACATGCTACAATGTTACCCAGTGGTGGGACCTTATTTAAAGTAAAACAAGAAAACAAAATCCAGGAACAGCTGATAAATGAATGCTGAAGTTGGCTGCATGAATTATGATACAGTAAATTCAACTTCTAACAGTCTTCTGATTTTATGGTATGAAAGAGATGGAAGAATTCTGGTTTGATTTGGCTTTATTTCTCAGGCTTCTTTGTTTTTTTGTCTTGCTTTTTAATGTTAGATAGAATATCCCTCTTCAGTTTGACTACAAGGAAACCCCTGCTGTGTCGTATGTGGACCCAGTCCTGCAACATGGCATGTGTTCAGGAGTGAAGCTGTTTGGAAGTGGCACTTGCAGCAGAGGTGCTTGCAACAGGAATACTGCCTTTGATGTATCTTCATAGAATCATATCATAGAATCATAGAATGGTTGGGGTTAGAAGGGACCTTGAAGCTCATCTAGTTCCAACCTCTCTGCCATAGGCAGGGACACCTTCCACTAGAGCTTGAACACTGCCAGGGATGGGACATTCACAACCTCTCTGTGCAACCTGTTCCAGTGCCTCACCAATCTCATGCTGAAGAATTGCTTCCTAATAACCTAATTCGAATCTGCCCTCTTTCAGTTTGAAGCCATTGCCCCTTGTCCTGTCGCTACATGCCCTTGTAAAAAGTTCCTCTCTAGCTTTCTTGTAGGCACCCTTTAGGTACTGGAAAACTGCTCTAAGGATTTGAAGATGAATATATAAGTTGGTAAAGCTGCTTTTCGTAGTAGTCTGCTGGTGTCTTTTGAAAGAGGATATGCTGGCCTGTCCATGAGACGGACAAGCACCTGCTTTCCTGTGTGTGGACACCTTTTGTACTGATTTAGTCTGCTGTTGCTTCAACTTTAGTTTTACACCCGCTGCACTGTTGCTCTATTTACTGTTTCAGCAATTAAATAAGAGTAGCCATTAGAAGTGTGTTTCCAACTGGTCACATACTTAAACTAACAAAAAAACCCTTTATTTTCTTAACCAGTCAATTAAATTTATGATTCGCATAAGCAGATACTAAAATCTTCTCTATGTCATTTGTATTGCTAGTAAATTGCAGGGCTTTCTACCACATCACATTACTAGAAATAGATTTGAAATATATAAAGGTACAATAAAAATACATTTTTAACAGTGAAAAGTAATCTTGTGACATAATAGCTAAAATAAAGTGCCATGAAGCTGTTAGTAGTAAATTGAATTTTTTGGTATGTAATTTAGTATAAATACTGACAAGCTGGAAAAAGCCACCCCCCAAACAACAAACGCATACTCATTAGTCATTCAGTTTAGCGGCACAGAGTCAGCAGTTGTCCAGGGTGTGCGTTTTTATGTCTGCTTCAGTTGCACACTTCATTTATTTGGACATGGCATAGGCGGCTTTCTCTGTCACACGGCATCACTGCACGATTAGCAAGTTGCGCCCCAGGGCAGCTGGGACGCTTTGCTGGGGCAGATGTTCTTTTCAGCTTATTCAGTGGCCGTTGTGGGGTTGTTTACTGTTGTCATAGCTACCTACATTTCCATAGCAGCCGAGCTGCTGTGTGTGAAGCAAGTGAATATAGTTATAACAGAATCATATTTTGTTCTGTCTCTATAACTTACCATCTGTCAACTGACTGTTCGTGGTGGATTCAGAAACCCATTTAAGAATAGCAGCAGCCATCTGATGATTTTTGCTTATATTTAAATGACAGTGGATAAGGATGCAAATAAGTTGGTGCTTCAGTGAAATCCTAGTTTCTTTTTTTAATTTCCCCTTAATTGTAGCGGTTTGGCTTCCAACACTTTATCAAACATTGCTGAAATCCCTGTCGACAAATCAAAATGACTGAGTGTCGTCTTCTGTACCGGCTCAGGTGTAGGTGTTCCTTATGCTTTCCCACTCTACTGTCAGCTCATCTCTCTGTGTTGCTTCTAAATTGTGATGTTGCACTTGCTTTCACAGATCCTTTATAATGCAATCTAAATACTCTCCAAAGAATTAAAGAGTGAATTCATGAGGCTAACAGTAAAGGTATCATGCACACATGAGTATAATTTGGTGACATTCATCACTGCGCTCTACTTAATAGTAGCAATGGGATCACATGCAAGTTTGGGGGTAAATTCAACATGTGATTAAGGAGCCCTCTGAATAATGAACTCATACTTTTTCACTGCAGAGATTTGGTTGAGCCTGTAGTTTAGCAACGGGGGCAAGAAGATTAGCCCAGTTGTAAATAATGTATTTATTGGTTGATTTTTCCAGATCCTGACATTGATGCTGCCACTGCCATGATGCTTTTGAATACTCCCCCTGAGATACAAGCAGGTTGTGAGTAGATATTTCTATAGCATATAGCAACATAGACATGTAAAGTTAATATTCTCTTTTATAAGTATACAGCATACCAGATCAAAAGGATTTAATGAAGAAATATAACTTCCCGTGTAGACCCTTACACTTCCTTGAACCTTAACATGAGTATAATTTTGTGTTTCATATTACATTCTTTGTTACATGAATAATAGTAATCCATGATCTCTAATGTAAAAGAGGGGTTATTGTTATTCATGACATACACATAATTGAGTAACGTACTATTATCTGCACTGATAGAAAGACCTGGGGCAACAGCCAGGAGAAAAGCAGGGAGAGAAAGAGTGCAAGAGAGCGAAGGGTACATGGCATATGGTTTTGTTTTCATTTTGTTTTGATTTGACTCCCATCGTGTGAGTTACCATAGCCATCTGGATACTTTCCATTCACTTGGGCACTGTTTCAACTCCTTCCTTGCACGCATCCTGCCCATTTTGCTTTTTTGCTCTGTCTGATGCAAGGCAGTAGGCAGACTCTGGGGAGCAAGGAAAGGTCTCATTTCTTGCCAATACTGTCATCCTTGTTCCGTGACCAGACCTGAGGTTTGATGCTGTGTATTTGAGCATTGAAGCAGCATTGGCCTCCACTGTACTGGGCTGTGCAAATAGTGCAGGAATCATCCTGCCCCACAGAGCTTGCAGTGAAGGTATTGGAGGAATCCATAGAGGAATACAGCTGCACAGAAGCAGGGAGTACATGAAAACAAACATACCGCTGGTCAGCAAGCATGATAGTAATGCCAAGTGACAGGCAGCTCTAAAAAATAAAGGCAGAAGTTAAAATAGAAGCCATTATCAAACCTGTCTAGCATCACCACTATTGTTCTAGCTCAGGCAGCCAAATCCAAATTCCAGGGAAGCCTGGATTCACTCTGCACTTTGATACTCTGCCTGGGGAAGAGAGTCAATTACCATCAAAGCAGTTCCTGTGCAGCCAAGGAAAGCTATTGTGAGTCTGCTTTGTGACCCTGCCAGAGAAATGCCTCTTGAGAAGCTCCGCTAGGGGAAGAGCATAATGTACCAAGAAACTGCCTGTCCTGGAAAGAGAGAAAGGAGAGTGCTCCTTGTCCTCCTCTCCTAAACAGACTTCAGGGTCTCTTGTGCTGTAGAAGAGTGAGCAATCCCACAATGTGTAGGTAGAAAAAGGGAAAGATTTTACTGGGGAGAGGAGGTTATTGTAGGGCTTAGTGTGAAGAATAAAGTGAGAGATCTTCAAAGGATCAGAAATATAAAGAAGCCAGGTTTGTGAGGCAGAGAAATGGGGGGAAAGTTGGAGTAGAATGAGAATGCAAGGATAAGGGTATGTGAGAGAGGGAAGGAGATGTGAAACAGTAGATGCACGGAAAAGCATAGGGAAAACACAAAAATAATATAAACTCCTGGAGGAACTGGAGGGCAGGAGATGATTGCAGACAAGAAAGAAAGGAGATGCATAGTAATCTGCATGTACTAAATACACTAGAGGGTTTTATCACATGCACATTTGCCAGCATTGCAGGTGTTTACATGGAAGTGGCTTGGAGACTTGGGCAGTGTTGTTTCATAGAGATGATAGCTTGAAGGTTGGCAAATGGCTTATTGCTATTTTAGTTTGTAGAGGTTGCTTTGAGGAAGGAAATTCTAGCCACCTACAAGTTTGGCATATCTCTCCCCCCATGTCACCTTCCCAGTGGGCTGTTGCGTCAGGACATCAGAAGTGAGAGGGGGGTGAAAGCAGAAAGATGGCTTCTCACTCCCATTGCTCCCGCCTTGATAACAAATAACAAGACCTTGCTCTTTAAACTGAAATGCAGGGTCTGTTCTGAAGTTCATGGATCCTTCCAAATGCTGGGTAGAACTGGCTGGTGCCAGCAGGAAAGGGCAGAAGTTTTTATTGTAACCTCAGAGGTCCTCTAAATTACAAAGGAGAAATATTTTTCTGTGTGTATGAACGAATACCCAAGGAAGTTCATCAGCCACTGCAGTTGGGTAACACTTATTATTACCATGTTGGGAGAATGTTAGGCAGCTTAAAGCCAGTTAATTACTACTGCACATTAAGAAAAAATTGCATGAAAAATCACATTTTAAATTAGTTTTCAAATAAAAGGCAATTGGGCTATAAAAATTTCATCGCAATGCTGAGCGTCATTTGGAAGCTCACAGTTCATTCTCTGCTCTGTCAGTGACTACAGTGGTCTGTAAGTCAAGCTGTGAATGATCAGGGCAGTAAGCATGCTGTTACTGTTTGATCCCCTGAAGACTGAGAGTTCTGTTTGCTGTATCAGACTGTGGTGTTAAGCATGTGCTCAACCCATCAGGGCTGCAAAATGCTCCATCTTCTGAAGACAAAATTTGAAGAGGCAGGGTCACAGTTCACAGTTTGGACACAGGTGTTAACACCTGACTGCAAACACCCGTTTGGTCTGAGTGTCTGACTCAGAATGCGCCTGTTACTTCCACAACAGAGATGCTCATGTGGAGCCAGAACCTGAGCTTCATTTCACAGTGTAACAACTTGATAAGTGAGAAAGTTTAAAACTCTGGTACATTAAGGCCTTTGCCTGTCTTACAAACACTTAGCCATTATTGTGACATGTGGATACCTCCAAAGTAGATTTGTGACAGTCTGGATTCGTGTTTGTGTGGACAGTTACATGTGTTGGCTTTTGACTTTGAAGGCCTCTTCTTGGATTAAAAGCTACCTTTTGAGCAGGATAAAAATCTGTGCTCCTCTAGGCAACGTGGGTGCTAAAAGCATCTTTAGGATGAAGTTATCTACAGCCATTATTCAAAGTCTTATTAAAATTTATTCCTTTAATGTAGCCTATGAGAAAGGAATCCCATCTTGGTAGCATTAGAAAATCCACAATAAACTATTCTTGCTTTGTAACAGTTTGATTAATTAGCTTTACAGTTTTAAATGACCATTTAAAATTCCTTACCTGTTTGTGAAACACTGCTGACAACCACACATTAATCCTAAAATCAGCTCTTGCTTTTATATGAAATCTTGAAATGGTGTCTGAGCTGGTACAAACGCTGCTTACTGTTTTACCCCAGGCACACCACACTTTAGTTTTCATGCAAAAAAGAAAGGCAGAATAAAAGAGTGAAACACTGTTACTAGGATTATTTTGTGTTTGTGGGGGTTTTACTTCACAGGCTCATGAACTTGATTGTTAACATTGTCACTAAAAGTTGGAAACAATGCAATTATAGTTGGGGTGTTGACATCAGAAGTCAGTTCCTAAAGTATGAACACTTTTCAGTGTTCTCACAGACCAAGTATTTGTAGATTATGACTAAAGGCAGAAGTTCAAAGTAGCCTGTTCTGTGCAAGGCTCTACTGAAACATACAGTCCAGGTGTCACCAAGAGTAAAGTATGAAAGGTACTGTGATGTGGTAAGAAAGGACATGTAGGGACATAGTTTCAATACTTTTATTTGCTTTAGTATATGGAAGTCATAATATTTCATCAAGTTTTGTATAGTTTGATTATGTTTAAAAAGAAACAGCAACTAGACACTTGATTTCTTCAGTAGCAGCTATCACAAGTTACAAATACTTCGGATTTTATTAGTAGCCAGTACATGAATATTAATTCCAAAATATGTAGCGTACATTGAAAACTGTATGTTGACCTGCAGAGGACTGGGGCCTGGCTGGACCATCTCGGGCAAGTTACATCAAATTTCTGGGCTTCTCTTTGCTGCTGGGAATTCAGTTCACAGAGGGGACAGGGGATAAGGAAGATGGTGAACAAATGGTAAAGCTCACTTTAGAAGTCATATCTACTAACTCAGTGAAGCCCATGGGTTAGTTTTGTACAGTTGTTCAGATTTTCAGTACTTCAGTCTCTACCAGTGTCTTGAAGGTAAGTATTACCAGCTGTCACTCCAGTGTAGCATTCCTGACTCTTACAGAGTGTAGTGTCATGGGCACGTCTTGCCAAACCACTGTGTTCTGCCATGAATAAAATGGAGATTGGTCTTGATGGGTTTGCAGTGTGTTTGGACTTCCTGAGATTCAAGTCACCGTAAGCACTTTAAGTAGCAATACCTTCTTAATTGATGGGGTCATTCTGAACTTGGAACCACTTGCTCTTCAGGAAGGACCAGTAAGAAGGGAGTGTGTGTAGTCTATTGCTGCTGCTGCTACTGAAACAATGCTGCATCAAAAGGATTATACTGGAAATCTTGATTTAATTCAAGAAGCTCCTCATTCAGTGATATTATACATAGCTTCAAATTCATGAGTAGTCCTTTGCCTGTTGCTGTGTAATTTGGGAATTGCACATAAATGTAAGTACATTGCTCAAGGTTAATACTGTAGACATCTATAAACAGTGCTCTCAGAAAGGGTTTGGGTAGGAACCAGGACTCTCAGCTCTTAACAGCCCTCTTCTGTTTTCAATACTGCTCACCCAGGTTAGCTGGAAAGTGGTGGACTTCCAGAGAATTTGCAGCACTGGATTTGTGGGTGGCTCCTTACAGCAGACTGAGTACTGTGGTAAAGATGTTTGGGAAGATACGAGTGTGGAGTTTTGCTGGGTGTTTCTTAAATAGCAGGCTTTTCAAGGGTGAGATCAGTGTTTGGAAATCTTTATTAATCTTTGTCTCAAAGTATATAAAACCTAGAATAGATACATTCTATTCTAGGTAGGAGAAGCAATTCCCTGAAGTTTTCTACTAATACTGTACCTCTATAGTTCTAAAATAATACCCTGATGAAATTTGCCTTTTAAGCTAATTCAAGTGGATTGTGTATGTGGAAGATATTTACAGGAATCAAGACAAAAAATTGGTACAGAGTTGCCTTAATAACAGACAGAAATCCTCCAAATAGGATCAAATGGAACATGCTGTTTTCTTTGGTTGTTTTTACTGTATATGAAACTTGATAACTGTAATGTTCTCATTGTACTGCTGTGGACAAGTCAGCTTCCAGCCTAACTTCTTACACCAGAAAAT